GATAAATTCACCCTTTGGGAGGAGTTTTGGAACTTTAGATTCCTTGGAATGACCCTCCTCTTGGACAAAAGCTTTGAGCTGTCCTGTGAGCAATGGGCGCTGGCATTGACCTTTGGTATTCTCTTTTTACATTTCTGAGCATTGAACTGTCCCCTCTACTATATCAACTGCTCTCGGTCTATTCAAACTAGGATAGATTCTACCCTGTGAATAAGAGTGGGTTGGACGAAGGAAGCCCCTGACTTCTCAGCTGTACTCACTGGGAATTTAACATCTGCAAACTTAGAAGAGACCGGAAAGGCCGGCCTGCCCCTTCTCATGAGATTCCCTATCTGTGGCCCAGGAACTAAAGAAAGAAGGTGCCGTTCTCCTGAGTGTGCTCCTACAGAAAGCGTCTGTGGAGAGGACTCTTGGTACAAGGGAAGGTAGAAGCCAGCCATCACCCACCAGCCACAGAACCCTCCTGATCACGGCAGTTTAGAAATGTTTTAAATAATATCTTTTCATGTGTTGTGTGGTCTTGGTGCACTTTGTAGAATCTTCCAGTGGTTTGGGGGGTATTGGGGTTTGTCTGTCTTTGCTTTGTTGCCATCCTAGCTTTGAGCAATTATTCTTGTTTCTTGGAGTGGGACTCATTAGAATTATGTTTTCAAAAAACAGGGCCAAAGGGAAGTCCCTGGTCCCATCACATAGTTTGAACTGTTCCTTTATCACATGTGACAATAATTCATACACAAATCAGGACCCCGTGGCCCTGAGTCCACTCCCTTCTCTCCCTTTTACTACACTCACTCTGAAAAATTACAGAGGTCCTCGCTGAATAAAAGTGCCTGCCCAGTAATGGCTTGTAAGAATTTTAAACTCCAGGAAAACATTTTGAGTAAAGTAAAGCATATATTTAGACACTCAATGTGATCTTCAGGCCTAAATCAGGGTTCTTTAGAAGTCTGACTCATGAAAAAAACACAGAAAAAAATCAGAAACCAGCATGCCTCAGGACCTCTCCTCTCTCCTCCCTCTCCCTTTCCTGTTTCACCCTCTCCCAGTTCACCCCCACCCTACATTTTGCTCACATGAGAATTATTAAACAGAAATCCAAGAACTGAATAATTAAAATCATAGAATTTAGAAAAAATATATAAAAATGTTAAAATGGTTAATAACAAATAATCTCTCTAAAGTGTTTTTATATAACCAGTCTAAGTCATGGAATGATTTTCCCTTTTTATTTGTTAAGAAACCAACAGCCATTTCCAGAGTCATTCATTCATTCATTTATTCATTCATTCATTCATTCATTCAATAAACGTGATTTAATACCTAATAACTGAATGGTACTTTTGCCAGTCACTTGTTCACTGGTTTGGATTTCAAAACATGAGATAGGATTTAAGAGCAAGCCAGTCAGCATATGCCTTGCCAAGCAAAAATATACCCTGGTTATTTTTATTCAGTTTTTACAGAGCTGATTTACCTTCTCATAAAATGGCCAGGAAGAACACTGTCAATGGGATCCCAAGGAACTATGAGACTTCCGTTAGACTTCACGGGGTGGCAGCTTTGGATCTAAGCATTCACGAGGAGCACCTTGTCCTCGCTGTCTCACGCAGGTCGTGTTGCGTAACTACAATCTCCTAAAGTTGGTGCATGCAATTCTACTACCTCTTTGATATTCTTAAAAGATCTAGGAGCAAAGAGAGATAAATTATAAACAAGCATGATACAGTTCACCCAGGCATGCTCATTCAAGGAGAGAATGAAAATGATGCAAAAAAAAAAAAGTGCCAACCTGAAAATTCTATTTAAAAATTAAAATGCCTTGGATTTTTGTTTGGAAATCTCATACATGCATACATTGCCTTTAATTAAAATCCACCCACCCTCCCCTCCCCTCTACCCCCTCATCCCCTGTCATTATTCTTTCCCAAGTTCATGTGCTCTTTTTTTTTTAACCCACTTTTTAAACTCTGCTTGTTCAGCGTGGATAGCCTCTCAGGGGCTCCATCCTTGAAGATAATCGACTCTCCTTCCGCTAGTGGCCGTCAGTCCCCAAAAGCTCTGTAGCAGGTGGCAGCACTTCACGGAGCTCCCCGTCCACACTAGGATTTTGGTGGCCTTGATCTTGTACAAGTCTTGTGCATCTAGTCACAGCCACTGCTGAGTTCACGTGCGCAGTGGGGCTGTCACATCCAGGAAGCAATCTTGCGATGGGTATCCTCTACCTCTGGCTCTTCCGTGCTTCCATTTCCAGTGAGCCCAAAATACCCCCTTTTTATAAAGAAATCAGATACTTAGTAGAGTTTAAAAGAAGTTAACTACCCAGTAAAACAAAATGATACAATTAAAAATTTCAACTGGAAAATAAGAGATCTTTTTGGAGTTTGGACCATGAGATTGTTTCATTGTTGACCATCAAGTGAAAACTGAAAGCATACGGTGTGCAGTATCAGGAAAACGCGTTCCCTGCTTCCAAGAAACAAGTCTTGGACATAAATAATGAGCACGTAAGTTAGAAAACAATTATTATAATAGGAGGTAATTGTGCCAGTTAAGAGAGAGGAGGCAGAAACATTTTTCTGTTGGGAGGATTAGAGGAGGTTTTGCGAGGGAAATTGCAGAAGAGTTGTAGGGTTCAAACAAAACCCAAGCTCATTTCAGCCTTCCTTCAGAAACCAGTCAAAAATTGCCCTGGTTAAGAACTGTGAAAGGGGTGTTGAGGAAAGGGTTAGAAAGCTAGATGAGATCCTCAAAATGTCACCAAGAGTCGAGAGTTCATTTTTAATCCAACGGGAAACCACAGCAGGGTTTTGATACAAGAGTTAGTTACCAACACTATGTCTTAGATTATTTTTGACGCTGTGTGTCATTTGGATTCTTTTGAATACTTGTGGAAGGAGGGGTGACAAGAAGGGCTCAATGGGCAAAGGAACTTGTCTGATTAGGTTTGATCCCAGGGACCCACAAGGTGAAAGCAGAGAACCAACTCATGCAGGCTGTTCTCTGGCTTTCATATGTGTGCACTATGGCCTGTATACATACACACACACACACACACACACAATATGAAAACATTTTTAATGATTAAAAATAGAGCAGAGATTTAAGACCATTGTAGTGGCCATTGTTATATCAGGCCAGGTGCTAGGAGAAAAGAAGGCAAAAGTCAAAGGAGAGGAGGCAGGGGGCTAGAGCTCAAAAACCTTTGTCAGCAGTGGAAGGGTGCATACTGCTTGGTGGTTAAATGTCTGTGTGCCAGGGAGATTAGCAGTGCCCTTAAACTGAGAAAAGAAACAGAAAGATGAGACTTGAAGAAGAAAAGAGAAGGGTTCAGTGACACAGTAAATATTTATTGGGTGTGTACATGCCAGGCACTGTTCAGGGCCGGGTGGGGTGGCTTGGGTGAGAATTAGCTTGAATTTGGAAAGTTCTTGATGTGGAAGAGGCTCTGTTCCCCATCTGTGTGGCTCTGGAGTCAGAGCTGGAGCCAGGGAGTGGGAGTTGGGGAGGAAGTAAAAGAGCTTTCTAATGAACGGTGGCTCTGGCTGGGTGGTGAGAGCCCTGTGGTTTCAACAAGCATTCAAGCAGAAGATGGTGGCCTTCCAGGAACACAGGGCAAGAGTCCTTCCTTGGGACGGGGGTGTGGGGGCGGAGGGGGGCTAGACTAGCCTTTCTGACAGCTTTCTTCTAGGCTCATTTTTCTCATGAGCCTCTCCTCGGTAGCTCTGCAGGTTCTATTATTAATCTGTGGTTTCTCTCAATTTTTAAATAAATTACTCAGTCTGTCTGCCATTCAGTAAAACTCACACATTTACATCTGTTATTCTTGAATTATTTTTGGTTAGGGCTCTTCTTCTTTATTAAAAAATTATCCACCCAGTTAGCGTTACCTTTATAGATATTTTAGAATGGGGTGCCTGGTGGATAGGGTTATAAATACTAGAGGAGGGGAAAGGCTTCTCTTGTGCCTAATAGTGTTGTTATTTGGAACGAGCAGGGAATGGGTTGTCTTGACTTGCAAACTATTATGCAGTTTCTATATGTTGCAGTAACTCAAAAAATTAAAAAAAAAAAAGCCAGAGAGGTTCACTTTGATACTGCATGGTGAAGAAAGAGAATAATTACGCTGTGAAGCTTTCCATCAGAAACACTTCCCTCTGATGCATTTTAAAAGGGAGAAAGGCGAGGAAGGAAGGGGGGGAAAGGGAGCCTGTAGTGCAAGCCTTGTTGTGAGCTCCGCGTTTCCCGGTGGTGTCTTTTGAAACGTAAAAATCCCACAACAAAATAGCCCGGTAATGTATAACCGGGGCGAAGATTCGATTCCGATTTAGGCGCTTCGGTTGGCTTTTGAGTCTTGCTATTTTCTGCATTTGTTTTGACGGCTCTCATCATTCAAGATTGACGCTTGGATGGGTGTGTAGGAGGGAGCAGCGGCAGCAGCAGGCTTACAGCTTGCAGACAAAAAAAAAAAAAAAAAAAACCTGCCTTATCTGATGGCTATTATTGAAAATGCGAGGTGTAGCCTGGGCTGGGTAATGAAGGGGAGCGAGCGAGGGGGAGCAAGGAGCATGGAGCCGCATACTGACGAGTGTAGGAGTTACTTGATAAAGAGAATTCTGGCTGCTGGCCGGGCATTGCTCATTGTGGAGTACTCACACAGTCACACAGAACGCAGAGCAGCCTAGGCTGACAGCTTGCTATGCCTTCTTCTGCTGCCTGGTTTCGGGGGCTGTATGACGCACTGGTCGGTAGTAAAGATTAATATGTAAGAAATGTGGAGCGAGGATCAAGTCATACTCCGCAGCCTCGCCTGGCAAACTATGTGTTACTTCTGACTTTGCTCTCTCGCTGCGAACGTTAATCTGTCAAGCTGGCGGGCTCCTTCGAGAACAACTTTCCCAGGAGCATGATGTGGCAATGCCACCTCTCAGCCCAGGACTACCGCTATTACCCCGTGGACGGCTACTCCCTGCTAAAACGCTTCCCTCTTCATCCTCTTACAGGACCCAGATGCCCTGTCCAAACAGTGGGACAATGGTTGGAAAGCATTGGGCTCCCTCAGTACGAGAACCACCTGATGGCTAATGGATTTGACAATGTACAGTTTATGGTAAGATTGCTATCCGTGGCCACGGAGCTGCCTTTTGTCTGTCTTTGCTTCTTATGTGTCTGACACGGCTCAGAGGCAGCCTGGTTTGCACGGAAATGGATCGGCTTCATATATGCAACTGCCTCAGAAAAGCAAATGCCTTTAGAACAGAACTTACTGTATGCGTGTAGACACTGACTGGAAAATGGGATTTATATACATCCCTTAGGCATGTGTGTTGTATGAATTGGTGAGTGCTCTATTTATAGGCTCTGGAAGGAGATTAACATTTATATTCTCCCTGCCATTTCTTTGTGTGATGTCTTTCCCTATGAATTTGTGATCTAGGCTTACAATTATATTATCCCACGCTTCAGCTAGTCCTAGATTCTAGAGATAGGTTATTTCACTCGGACATCAGCATTATGATTAATTAGACAACCCGCTTTGTTGGCGGTATGGCGATCATTTTTCCTGCTAATCGCTCAATAAAGCAGTTTAAATCCTGCGGCCGGCCCTTCATTAGCTAGGCGCTTCAGCCGGTCGATTAGCGAGTGCATGCTCTTCCTTCCACACGCTGGCTGAGGAGCAATGAAGTATTGTTTGTTACTTTGGGTGGAAAACAAACACTTGGATCAATTGGCCATCCCTGTATAGAAGGAGCTGCTGTACCAAAGGCACTGATGTACTTCCGAGTCCGGGTCTATGTGGGTCTGAACCTGGCGTGTGCAAACTTCCCACTGTGCATATAGGTGAGGAGGAGGATGGGAGGGGTGCAGGCGACAGTCTAGTTTTCTAATCATCCTGAGACGTCCTCCGGCGCTCACTGCTTCCTCTTGTTAAGCCCCTTTAAGCCCCATCACAGCCCTCTCACCTTTCCTTGCTTCAAAGGTCCCACTACACGTATCGCTTGGTCCCTAAATTTAGGGAGACCTCCATGTCATAAGCATGTAGCACACCATCCGCTTATAGAAATACTTAATGGATCCTCTGAAATAAAATGCTGGGGAGACACCTACAGCATGATCATAAAAACACTGAGAGCTAGTCAGATCTTCCCAGTTCCCTTTTCAAGATTGTTTCTCTCTAAACTTGACAGAATTATTATAGATTTGAAGGTTATTAAGATAGTTAAATTTTACAAAAATATGGACGCCTACAAGCTTTTTTAAGATGCATAAGTCTGGCCCATCCTATGAGCTTTAAGTAATATATGCATAAAACCCTTTATGGGTTTCTTGTTGTTTTTCTCTTAATAATGAGCTGTGCATTTATTTTCCTTGTGTCCATCCGACAGTTACTGGCTTTGCAGCTGAGACACCGTGGGTGTTGAAATAGGGTAGAAGTGGAAGTTGTTCCAGTCTGAGCAGACTTAAGACTGACTTGGGACAATAAACAGATGCTGTTAATAATTAGAGGAACTAGCAAACAAAATGAATACCATTGACTACACATCTCTATGTTGTCTCTCCTTAAAATGGGGTGTCTCATTCCCAAGCCCTTGTCAAATTTACTCTGGCCCCTGAGAAGCTGGGCTTTGGCTTCCCTGAATTAATCGGCCACACTGAAAGGACTTTAATTCCGCTTAATTTTCCTCTGAATAGTAAACGCTTATGAGTGAATGTCATCCCCCGTTGGAAGTATTTAACTAGAAGGTGATCGCACAGGTTTTAGAGAACTTGAGGGCAGAAGTGTGAAGAACAACCATGTGTAAGTTGTGCGCAAAATGTATCCAAAGGGCAAGAGCCCCGAGCACCGTGGGAAGATCAAATTGCGATCATAGATTGTGGCTTTGCCTGTTCATTTCCAAGTATCGTATGAAATCTTCCAGAAAATGAGAGTGCCTTGTTAATTCACGCAAGCCAAAGGCTTGCATCAAGAGACCAAATTTTAAAACAAAATAGCTTTGATTTGCCATGGAGAAGGACTAATTAATTGTGAAAATGTAGCAAATCATGAAATGGTGTCATCAATTACTGCATTACATGGTGCTATCATACTCCATTTGTTTGCTGCTGATGTTGTAGGAAAAGGATGCCTACCTGTGTGATAATTATTCCCTGATTGCCATAGTCTACTAAATGCTGAACTTAAAGCGCACGGTGATTGGCCCGCTTTAAGGAACAGATTTCATTAATGTGAAAATCCGTTAGACCTGCTCAGTCTCCATTCGGTATCATGTTCTAGCTTTTGTTTTCCGGGTAGCACATTCTGACCTGCATTTATTCTTCCTGTTGCCTAAGCAACAAGCACCATGCTCCCATTAACTGTGATGTCGTGTAGGTCTTATTAGCTTTTGAGAAGAAGACAGAAGACATCACAAGGATATAATTAATGTTGGTTAAATGTGGCAGCACACCCATGTATGTGCTTTGTTGTGGAAACGTTCTCTAGAGCTAATATTTCACTGCATTGATGTTCTATTGATAAATTAAGTTTTAAGTTTTCTTTAAAATAACTTTTTGAAGAATTTATTGAAAACATAATGTTTTGCTAAATCTGTTCTATATACTGTTAAGCAGAAACACAATATGTGGTTTATTTTATCTCATGGCGACCATTAACTTTAGTAAAGATTGCTTAATAATGATTCCTGAACATGGTTAGAAAAGAAGAAAGCTCCTCCCACCCACACTTTTTGGTGTTGACCGTCTCTCATCACTTTTCCTTCAGGCTCTTGATACCTTCCCTTGAGTTTACAGATGCAGGAATTATTTTCCTATCTTCAAGACAAAATTATAAACTTTTGCTCTATGCATTCATCCTGCCTTATGGAACATTGTGCACACATTAGATCCAAAGTGCCCTTAAGAATATAAAATAAATAGAAATGGCTACAATTCTAGAAGGGCTACAACAGGACCTATAGGCAGCTAAGACTTTGGGAAAGTCACGTGTGTTTTGACATCAGAAGTCCTCTCACGCGTCATGTGTCTGAAGTCTTCCCTAGTCCCGCCCTGCGTGTCCCTCTAAAGATGCGTCACAACGCACAGCGTCACAACGCACAGCGGTCAGCTCTCTGCGTAAACATCATCTACCTGCTTCTCCACCGACCTGGGAGTGCTGTGGGGTCCTCTGAGCTTTGTGACTTTCTTCAGCCTTTGCGGTGTTTGTTAGCATGACTGTTTCAACGTTGCTTATGTTCCCAGCAAGGAGTTTAGGGCTGTATCGATTGTTACACAGGGTGCTTTTGCTTATGGTTTTCCTTCCTCTGTTTCTTGCTACCACCAGCATTTTCTAAGTTAAATGATTGCTTCCTAAGTTGTCAAAGTCTCAAATCCTCTATTCTTTTCCTATGGTCTTGCTCCTTTCTGCCATCTCCGTCCTCCTTCGGTGCTGCCATTTCCTTTCTTCCCCCTACACTTTTCATCCCCAACACTCCCCCTGCCTTGATTACATAACTTTCCTTAAGGCCTGCAGTCCACAGTCGTGTGTCTTCTTGGAACTCATGTGGTGGCTGTGTTTCGCAGCCCTCGCTCTGTCTCTAGAGTTAGAAATTAAGTTTCTGCTTGTGTAAAACTTGTCCTTCCAACTGGAGGAGAAATTAGCAAGTCTGTTTTGCGTGTTGATTTCCTTGCTTTTCTTCCAACTCCTAATGTAATGTAATATACATAGAAATCTTCCGGGAAGCGCCACAGACACAACAGGCTGATGTGGCTGGACCTCCAGTGTCGTTTATAAGCTAAAAGTCATTTTTTGCCCATGGAAATATGGAGCACTAGTCTCCTTCAGGAACTGAGTCCTCTGTAAATATTTTCCACATATTAGGAAGTGTTAATTGCTAGGGATTCATTGATGAACAAAACATGACCCTTGTGTCAGTCAGGGCATCCTGTTCTGAGTGTTTCCTTGTAAGCCCCACAAGCGTTCCTTCATCCACTTAGTCTATAACACAGGGTCTTGCCCCTCATCTTTCTATACAGTCAGCATTACTCAGCCATTTTTCCTATATTAAATTATAGTGCATAGTGGAACGTGCAAAACATTTGTTGGAGCACGAAGTCAAGGAAAATGGAGATAGTGCTAGCATCAGACACGTAGCAATACTACAACAAATTGATGGTGTACGGACCAGATTACAAAGCTTGTGTCACCCGGAGGAGGACTGACTCAGAGTCTCACCATCCTTACTAACCAACAGTTACATCCTCAAATCCTAAAGGGGAAAAGAATGAAATTACATATCATGTCACCCTTTTAGCATCTCCCGTTGACCTGTTGCCTTGGAATGATCTGGCCATCTTTAATGTGTTCAGGATGAAGTCTTTATGATGTCAGTTATAGAAAGTCCCACACCAATTGGCATTTTTGTGCACTTGAGTGAGTAGCATTCAAAAAGCGCTTTCTGGAGGTCAACATGAGCAGTGCCCATTAAACACTGAAGGAGACCCGTGGAGCCCTTGTAGGTGATCAGTCTGACCAAAGGATGCGAGCAAGAGGAAAGCTGACAAGGACGTATTGAACTGGAACTTTTCTCCCACATCCGTGGTGCGTACTACGTGCTATGGAAAGATCTCTCACACTTTGCATAACTTTGCTGGAATAAGAGAGCTCTTTGCAGCCGCTCTGGTAAAATGACCTTTGAAGTCTTAGCAAACCACTAGACAGGTAAGATGTCAAACCTGTGACGTAGAAAAATAAATGGTCACCAATGGCTAAGGCGAATCACTCCAATGATGACTTCTTAACTATTTCTCAGGCAAACTTATGGAGTTTCAATGATTTGAAGGAAATATAAAATGAAAACACGCATTTCCCCCACTTTCCTGTTTCTGAAGCAGCCTTGAGTTGAGCGGGCAACCTTATACTGCAGAATCAGCTATGATTTTCCAAACTCACCTAGGACAGTAGTTCTATATTTGCTCTTACCAAAGGTTTTCTTTCAACCACTGGCATATAAATCTGTTGGTATCTAGCAATCAGTGCCAAAGGGGAGTCATTTTTTATCTGGACAACAGCTTAATTACAAATATGAGAGGCAGTGAGCACGGAGGGGGCCGTAGGGGCAGAAAGAAAGAAAG